ACACTAACTGCTTACAGACGGTAGGCAATTAAGGTCACAGTTATGAAAACTTAGGACACTAAAGAGGCCTTTCTACTGACTCTGAAAAACACCAAAAGAAAGAGGCCCAGTGTCCCTGATCATCTGCGTGAACGTGCCTTAGGCATGCTGCAAGGAGGCATGAGGACTGCAGATGTGCCCAGGGCAATAAATTGCTATGTCCGTACTGTGAGACGCCTAAGACAGCGCTTCAGGGAGACAGGACGGACAGCTGATCGTCCTCGCAGTGGCAGACCACGTGTAACAGTGGCAGACCTCCCCCCACACTGCTCCCCCCAAAAGACATCTACCCTGCCCCCACCCCAATGTACCGATCATACATCCGAACATCACACCTGCGGGACAGGTACAGGATGGCAACAACAACTGCCCGAGTTACACCAGGAACGCACAATCCCTCCATCAGTGCTCAGACTGTCCGCAATAGACTGAGAGAGGCTGGACTGAGGGCTTGTAGGCCTGTTGTAAGGCAGGTCCTCACCAGACATCACCGGCAACAACGTCGCCTATGGGCACAAACCCACCGTCGCTGGACCTGACAGGACTGGCAAAAAGTGCTCTTCACTGACGAGTCGCGGTTTTGTCTCACCAGGGGTGATGGTCGGATTCGCGTTTATCGTCGAAGGAATGAGCGTTACACCGAGGCCTGTACTCTGGAGCGGGATCGATTTGGAGGTGGAGGGTCTGTCATGGTCTGGGGTGGTGTGTCACAGCATCATCGGACTGAGCTTGTTGTCATTACTGTGCATTACAGGGAAGACGTCCTCCTGCCCCACGTGGTACCAGAGCATATGAGCGGAGTGGAGCGGGAGCGAGTGTGGAGCGTGAGCGGACGGATTTTGAACAGAGCGCAGAGCGGCATTTTTAAAAGGACGGAGCGTCGCCCTATGTCCCGCTCCAATTTCGCTCGCTCACACCACGAGTCTGAAGCATGCTCAAGCCTGACCGAGAATCCATCTGTTTAATTTAATTTGTGTCGTCCATTAATTTGTATTTTATAGAGCGAGAGGAGCAGCAGCAGCAACAAGAGAAAAGGGTTGAGGAATTCAAAAGTTTATTCACTGCACGCAAAGGCCCAACCATAACAAGGGAGAGAAAAAGAGAGCTGGATGTAGCATTTTTAAAAATGATTTTCATGGACTATGAACCGCTGAGTAAAGGAGAACGCGACGGGATGCAACACTTCGCCAGCGCAGCTCAACCGGGCTACACTCCCCCAAGAAACTATGATAAATCAGTACTTTACTTTGTCAAATTTACATCTGAGATGCCCCATTCACATGCTTCAGCTGGCGATCAAAAACGCCGTTAACAAGCACGACAACATTAATAGGCTGTTAGTGAAAGTCGGGCACCTGGTGAAAAGTGTACGCAAGAGCACAGAGGAAACCAACCAACTAGGTGTCCGCCCCACAAATGCCTGCGCCATTCGATGGAGCAGCCAGCTGCGGATGATTCAGTCGTTCATCCGGTTGTTCCAAAAAGACCCGTTATGGTAAAACAAACTCAAGTCTAATGTTGCTAACATCACCCTGAATCAAGTACGGCAGCTGACGCACCTTGTCAGTGTGCTGACACCACTAGCAGACCTCACAGACAAAATGCAGAAGGAGCTGGGGAACCTGGGGATGATCCTCCCTGCTGTCACAGAAATCAAATCCCTGCTCACCGATTACACTCATGCTGCACTTCCAATGGGCATCGCTGCTTTTGCAGAAACATTGGCAAACAACGTGTCAATTCACTATGGAATATACTATACTGATTAACATCTCATTTTAGCGTCAGTGTTAGATCCCCGTTTCAAGACAGAATGGATAATCCGAGATGAGTCTGTATGCAACAAATTCGGGGAGATAAAGTAAGGCTGTGGTTTAAGCTAAAAGTGAAATACATGCAGATTTTGTGAGCGGGGGGCGATTTGAGTGGAGCGCGATGCAAACTGCGTTGAGCACTGAGCGATAATGAGCGGACTGGCCTGATGTGGCTTTGAGCGGGGGGAGCGGAGGGGTGAACAGCTCCGTGAGCGAGGAGCTGAGATTCTCACCGCTCCACTCCGCTCATATGCTCTGCGTGGTACCCTTCCTGCAGGCTCATCCTGACATGACCCTCCAGCATGACAATGCCACCACCAATACTGCTCGTTCTGTGCGTGATTTCCTGCAGGACAGGAATGTCAGTGTTCTGCCATGGCCAGCGAAGAGCCCGGATCTCAATCCCATTGAGCACGTCTGGGACCTGTTGGATCGGAGGGTGAGGGCTAGGGCCATTCCCCCCAGAAATGTCCGGGAACTTGCAGGTGCCTTGGTGGAAGAGTGGGGTAACATCTCACAGCAAGAACTGGCAAATCTGGTGCAGTCCATGACGAGGAAATGCACTGCAGTACTTCATGCAGCTAGTGGCCACACCAGATACTGACTGTTACTTTTGATCTTGTTATGTTCATACAAATATTTACACATGTTAAGTTTGCTGAAAATAAACGCAGTTGACAGTGAGAGGACGTTTCTTTTTTTTGCTGAGTTTATATATACAGGACCAGTCAAAAGTTTGGACACACCTACTTTCTTTCTTTTTTACTATTTTCTACATTGTAGAATAATAGTGAAGACATCAAAACTATGAAATAACACATGGAATCATGTAGTAACCAAAAAAGTGTTAAACAAATCAAAATATATGTTATATTTGAGATTCTTCAAATAGCCACCCTTTGCCTTGATGACAGCTTTGCACACTCTTGGCATTCTCTCAACCAGCTTCACCTGGAATGCTTTTCCAAAAGTCTTGAAGGAGTGGTTGTCCTTCTGGAAGGTTCTCCCATCTCCACAGAGGAACTCTAGAGCTGTAACGTAAAACAATGTGGAAAAAGTCAAGGGGTCTGAATACTTTCCGAAGGCACTGTGTGTATATATATATATATACACTGCTCAAAAAAATAAAGGGAACACTTAAACAACACATCCTAGATCTGAATGAATGAAATAATCTTATTAAATACTTTTTTCTTTACACAGTTGAATGTGCTGACAGCAAAATCACACAAAAATTATCAATGGAAATCAAATGTATCAACCCATGGAGGTCTGGATTTGGAGTCACCCTCAAAATTAAAGTGGAAAACCACACTACAGGCTGATCCAACTTTGATGTAATGTCCTTAAAACAAGTCAAAATGAGGCTCAGTAATGTGTGTGGCCTCCACGTGCCTGTATGACCTCCCTACAACGCCTGGGCATGCTCCTGATGAGGTGGCGGATGGTCTCCTGAGGGATCTCCTCCCAGACCTGGACTAAAGCATGGAGCGAGACATGATGTCCCAGATGTGCTCAATTGGATTCAGGTCTGGGGAACGGGCGGGCCAGTCCATAGCATCAATGCCTTCCTCTTGCAGGAACTGCTGACACACTCCAGCCACATGAGGTCTAGCATTGTCTTGCATTAGGAGGAACCCAGGGCCAACCGCACCAGCATATGGTCTCACAAGGGGTCTGAGGATCTCATCTCGGTACCTAATGGCAGTCAGGCTACCTCTGGCGAGCACATGGAGGGCAGTGCGGCCCCCCAAAGAAATGCCACCCCACACCATGACTGACCCACCGCCAAACCGGTCATGCTGGAGGACGTTGCAGGCAGCAGAACGTTCTCCACGGCGTCTCCAGACTCTGTCACGTCTGTCACATATGCTCAGTGTGAACCTGCTTTCATCTGTGAAGAGCACAGGGCGCCAGTGGCGAATTTGCCAATCTTGGTGTTCTCGGGCAAATGCCAAACGTCCTGCACGGTGTTGGGCTGTAAGCACAACCCCCATCTGTGGACGTCGGGCCCTCATACCACCCTCATGGAGTCTGTTTCTGACCGTTTGAGCAGACACATGCACATTTGTGGCCTGCTGGAGGTCATTTTGCAGGGCTCTGGCAGTGCTCCTCCTGCTCCTCCTTGCACAAAGGTGGAGGTAGCAGTCCTGCTGCTGGGTTGTTGCCCTCCTGCGGCCTCCTCCACGTCTCCTGATGTACTGGCCTGTCTCCTGGTAGCGCCTCCATGCTCTGGATACTACGCTGACAGACACAGCAAACCTTCTTGCCACAGCTCACAGCTCGCATTGATGTGCCATCCTGGATGAGCTGCACTACCTGAGCCACTTGTGTGGGTTATAGACTCCGTCTCATGCTACCACTAGAGTGAAAGCACCGCCAGCATTCAAAAGTGACCAAAACATCAGCCAGGAAGCATAGGAACTGAGAAGTGGTCTGTGGTCACCACCTGCAAAACCAGTCCTTTATTGGGGGTGTCTTGCTAATTTCCTATAATTTCCACCTGTTGTCTATTCCATTTGCACAACAGCATGTGACATTTATTGTCAATCAGTGTTGCTTCCTAAGTGGACAGTTTGATTTCACAGAAGTGTGATTGACTTGGAGTTACATTGTGTTGTTTAAGTGTTCCCTTTATTTTTTTGAGCAGTGTATATATATATATATATACACTCACACACAGTGCATTCGGAAAGTATTCAGACCCCTTGACTTTTTCCACATCGTTTTACGTTACAGCCTTATTCTAAAATTGATTCAATTGTTTTTTTGCGTGATAGTCATTCAGTTCAGTTCAGTTACTTTCCCTTTCTTGGGCCCTCTGGGCCACCATAATCACAACGTTCTTCAACTGGTCGTTCAGTGCAGTAGGCTACCATTTCAGTTGAATTAAACGTTGCACGCTGTTCTGTCTACTGAACGCCCCCAGCTCTCTACGATATGATTGGTCAGCTATGTTGCCTGGTACACCTATTTGTACTGCAGTGCGCACAAGTGATACTCACTTTTGAAATCAATGTAGATCAGCATGCTGAGTTAATATTACCTTATAATTCAGTGTCAACATTGAATCTTTTTGGTGACAATGACAACAACATTGGAAAGTAATTACACTGTTTCCCCACAGAGGCCACTTGCATCACTGAGATGTCCATGGTGATGGCATGCTGGAAGCAGAACAACTTTGTCGACGCCCTCTGTTCCAATGAAATGCAGTCCTTCTACAAGTGTGTTGAGAAAGCCCAGGTACGGTGCTGCTACTCACAGTGTACCGGAAATCCTTGCTCCAGGCTTATTACACACACACCCCTCTCTCCCAACCTAGTTTAGGTCAGCATTGTTATGTTCTTCATTAAACATTTTATTAGGAGACAAGGTAATTAGGCAGCATGGGTAACATAGTTTTCTCTGGCGTTTCCTGGCTTGGGAGGAGTCATAACAAAAATCTTCCCAGGCCCTGTTTCCTTGTAGGTCTTCCTTCCTGCTTTGCTTTTGTTTTCCATTCTTCCATAATTTCCCTTCCTCAGCTGAGGTGACCAGCTACCACATGCTACTGTAGCACTGCATGGATGGATGACAAGTCTTTGGCTAAATTACGCTTTCAGTTTAGTGTCTACAAGAAAGTAATACATTATTTACAAATGTGAATAAATAGCTCAAAGCCATTATGCTTTACATTGAATTAGTATTGAATGAGGCAATAAAAAAATTAAACCGTTTTTGTCTAAATGCATTTCCTCACAGATTGCAGTGAAAGCCATATCAGAGAAACACACTATTGGCCAGGGGGGACGCCTTCAACCAAAACAAGCCACTACCCTGCTGAAGAGACACCCCAATTTACACAAAGAAATCTAGTACTACCCACAGCCCTACTACTAAGATGTGTTCATTGACTAAGGTTGTGGGCCAGAGACTCTATATATATATAAATATATACAGTTGAAGTCGGAGGTTTACATACACTTAGGTTGAAGTCATTAAAACTCGTTTTTCAACCACTCCACAAATTTCTTGTTAACACACTATAGTTTTGGCAAGTCGGTTAGGAAATTACTTTGTGCATGACACAAGTAATTTTTCCAACAATTGTGTACAGACAGATTATTTAATTTATAATTCACTGTATCACAATTCCAGTGGGTCAGAAGTTTACATACACTAATATTGACTGTGTGTCACGCCCTGACTCTGAGGACTTGTATTTGTTGAGTCAGGGTGTGTATTTTCCGTGTTGTGTGTTGCTATGTTTGATTTCTATGTTTGAGATCTAGCATGTGCAGATCTATGTTGGCCGGGGTGGTTCCCAATCAGAGGCAGCTGTAGCTCGTTGTCTCTGATTGGGGACCATACTTAGGCAGCCTTTTGACACCTGTTAGTTGTGGGATCTTGTTCCGTGTAAGGTATGTTGTTTGTATGCTACCTTGGACTTCACGTTTCGTTTGATGTTTTGTCGTGTGTTTAGCCGTAAATAAATATGAATGCATATCACGCTGCGCCTTGGTCCTTCTCGTTCGTAAACGATCATGACACTGTGCCTTTAAACAGCTTGGAAAATTCCAGAAAATTATGTCATGGCTTTAGAAGCTTCTGATAGGCTAATTGACATCATTTGAGTCAATTGCAGGTGTACCTGTGGATGTATTTCAAGGCCTACCTTCAAACTCAGTGCCTCTTTGCTTGACATCATGGGAAAATGAAAATAAATCAGCCAAGACCTCAGGAAAAAAAATGTGTAGACCTCCACAAGTCTGGTTCATCCTTGGGAGCAATTTCCAAACGCCTGAAGGTACCACGTTCATCTATACAAACAATAGTACGCAAGTATAAACACCATGGGACCACGCAGACGTCATACCGCTCAGGAAGGAGATGCATTCTGTCTCCTAGAGATGAACGTACTTTGGTGCGAAAAGTGCAAATCAATCCCAGAAAAACAGCAAAGGACCTTGTGAAGATGCTGGGGGAAACACGTACAAAAGTATCTATATCCACAGTAAAACGAGTCCTATATCAACATAACCTGAAAGGCCGCTCAGCAAGGAAAAGCCACTGCTCCAAAACCGCCATAAAAAAGCCAGACTACGGTTTGCAACTGCACATGGGGACAAAGATCGTACTTTTGGAGAAATGTCCTCTGGTCTGATTAAACAAAAATAGAACTGTTTGGCCATAATGGCCATTGTTATGTTTGGAGGAAAAAGGGGGTTGCTTGCAAGCCGAAGAACACCATCCCAACCGTGAAGCACGGGGATGGCAGCATCATGCTGTGGGGGTGCTTTGCTGCAGGAGGGACTGGTGCACTTCACAAAATAGATGGCATCATGAGGAAGGAAAATTATGTGGATATATTAAAGCAACATCTCAAGACATCAGTCAGGAAGTTAAAGCTTGGTCACAAATGGTTCTTCCAAATGGACAATGACCCCAAGTATACTTCCAAAGTTGTGGCAAAATGGCTTAAGGACAACAAAGTCAAGGTATTGGAATTCTGACATTTCACATTCTTAAAATAAAGTGGTGATCCTAACTGACCTAAGACAGGGAATTTTTACTAGGATTAAATGTCAGGAATTGTGAAAAACAGAGTTTAAATGTATTTGGCTAAGGTGTATGTAAACTTCCGACTTCAACTGTACATACCAGTAAAAATTTGGACACACCTACTCATTCAAGGGTTTTTCTTTATTTTTAATATTTTCCACATTGTAGAATAATAGTGAAGACATCCAAATGAAATACCACATATGGAATCATGTAGTAACCAAAAAAGTGTTAAACAAATCAAAATATATTTTAGATTCTTCAAAGTAGCCACCCTTTGCCTTGATGACAGCTTTGCACACTCTTGGCATTCTCTCAACCAGCTTCACCTGAAATGCTTTTCCAACAGTCTTGAAGCAGTTCCTACATATGCTGAGCACTTGTTGGCTGCTTTTCCTTCACTCTGCGGTCCAACTCATCTCAAACCATCTCAATTGGGTTGAGGCCGGGTGATTGTGGAGGCCAGGTCATCTGATGCAGCACTCCATCACTCTCCTTCTTGGTCAAATAGCCCTTACACATTCTGGAGGTGTGTTGGGTCATTGTCCTGTTGAAAATCAAATGATAGTCCCACTAAGCCCAAACCAGATAGGATAGCGTATCGCTGCAGAATGCTGTGGTAGCCATGCTGGTTAAGTATGCCTTGAATTCTAAATAAATCACAGACAGTGTCACCAGCAAAGCACCATCACACCTCCTCCATGCTTCACGGTGGGAACCACACATGCAGAGTTCATCCATTCACCTACTCTGCGTCTCACAAAGACACAGCGGTTGGAAACAGAAATCTCAAATTTGGACTCATCAGACCAAAGGACAGATTTCACCGGTCTAATGTCCATTGCTCGTGTTTTTTGGCCCAAGCTAGTTTCGTCTTCTTATTGGTGTCCTTTCGTAGTGGTTTCTTTACAGCAATTCGACCATGAAGACCTGATTCACGCAGTCTCCTCTGAACAGTTGATGTTGATATGTGTCTGTTACTTGATCTCTGTGAAGCATTTATTTGGGCTGCAATTTCTGAGGCTGGTAACTCTAATGACCTTATCCTCTGCAGCAGAGGTAACTCTGGGTCTTCCTTTCCTGTGGCGGGCCTCGTGAGAGCCCGTTTCATCATAGCGCTTGATGGTTTTTACGATTGCATTTGAAGAAACATTCAAAGTTATTTTTTAGCACTCTTAACCCTCCCCAATGTCATCTGTTATCATGCTTGCCTCTCGTGGTCAACTAAGGTCTCTTAGATCAAGATGCGATCACCCACAGAAACATCACCAATGTTCCACCGATGCCAGACGTGATTAATCAACAAACTGGGCTGCAGATAGACTTCTAGTGATTGCTAAGTTTAATTGAGTATGCTGTTATAGGTCATCATCTAAAACGGTACCATTAAAATGGCTTCAGTCACAAAAGTTGGTTCCTACGAATATGTAGCTTCACTCACTGTCTGTAATATTTTGAAGGGCATTTTCAGTAGACTTTCAGTTATTGCTATATTATTACATGACTATTATTATTACATATATTATTACATGACTTTTTATGATGCTCTACTAATTTACGTTTCTCATAACTATCAAGGACATATGTTTTCATAACTTACTTGACATGATATTGTGTGTGACCTGGATGAAATATACTGTGACTGACTCTTAACCCAGTATCTTGAGTTGACTCGATATAAATTGTCTCAATAATTCCATACTTCACAGTGGTTGCTAATGATATTAAGATATTATTAGTGACCTGTGCATTATTTAATTATTGTTATTTTGTTGCTTATCTTCTCTGACGTGCACTATCACTCGATGGTCACCTCAATAGGATACCTACTTTGAGTTTCCAATGGATCACTCAAATGTAATTTGAAACACTCCCGATATAGTTGAACATTCTAGCTATTCTGTATTATTGGCCAATTTGCCAGATAGGATTACATGCCGGGAAGTAAAGCCCATTGCGGGTCATAGTCACACAGGTATTGAAAATTGCATTAAGATGACTGCGGTGCCAAGAAAATATCTAATTGGCTGACTAACATCTACTGGAATTTCAGCTCCAGCTGCATTACCTTATAATTCATACGTTGTTTCCATTTTCTAATCTTAAAACCCTCCCTTTTGATTCCGGCACAGTTTTTTATATTACGCTAATGATGTTTGAAGTCAGCATTAGGATGTTGGATGCACTTATGCTTTGTCTGCCATCCAGGAAACGGCTAAATCTGCTGTCAGATTTTGGTATTTTAAGTATGTCCATATTAGGCTGCCCCTCATTATAAAGAGGAACATTGCCATCCCGCCCCGCCCACACTGCCCACCATTTCCTCACCCTCCTTATCATTTCCTGCTAAACGTCTAGACTGAAAAAGAAATGCTGTCCTTTGTCATTAGCAGTGCAGATGGGTTTGATCAAACTACCACAAAATAACAATTCACTATATATACTGAACAAAAATATAAACGCAACATGCAACAATTTCAAAGATTTTACTGAGTTACAGTTCATATAAGGAAATCAGTCAACTGAAATAAATTGATTAGGCCCTAATCTATGGATTTCACATGACTGGGAATACAGATATGCATCTGTTGGTCATCTGTTGGTAAAAAATGGGCCTCACAATGGGCCTCAGGATCTCGTCACGGTATCTCTGTGCTTTCAAATTGCCATCGATAAAATTAAATTATGTTCGTTGTCCGTAGCTTATGCCTGCCCATACCATAACCCCACCGCCACCATGGGGCACTCTGTTCACAACATTGACATCAGCAAACCGCTCGCTCACACGACGCCATACACGTGGTCTGCTGTTCTGAGGCCGGTTGGACGTGTTGCTAAATTATTTTAAACGACGTTGGAGGTGGCTTATGGTAGAGAAATTCACATTCAATTATCTGGCAACAGCTCTGGTGGACATTCCTGCAGTCAGCATGCCAATTGCATGCTCCCTCAAAACTTGAGACATCTGTGGCATTGTGTTGTGTGACAACTGCACATTTTAGAGTGGCCTTTTATTGTCCCCAGCACAAGGTGCACCTGTGTAATGATCATGCTGTTTAATCAGCTTCTTGATATGCCACACCGGTCAGGTGGATGGATTATCTTGGCAAAGGAGAAATGCTCACTAACAGGGAAGTAAGCACATTTGTGCACAACATTTGAGAGAGAAGCTTGTTGTGCGTATGGAACATTTCTGGGATTTTTTATTTCAGCTCATGAAACATGGGACCAACACTTTACATGTTGTGTTTATATTTTTGTTCGGTGTATTTATGTATAACTATGAAACAGTACGGTAGTGGATTGCTTTCCTTTATTTCTATATTTCTGCACTTAGACTGGCAGTCATTTTAAGTTACAGTATTGAAGCATGGAAAAGGAACAAGGCCTCCTATCCCAACATGCTGACCTTGGCTTAGACATTGCAATAATATTCTAGACCAGTTACAACAGTTGACCTTTCACCTGTTCTTAGACTGTGTGTTGCCTGGGCATGTCAGATATCCAAATCTATATTCATAAAAATGTGACTATATTTACTTTAGACTGACACCCCGAAAATAATTAACAGTCAAAGACTAGAGGCAACCCAATAGGTCCCTTTGAAGATCATATCAGAACCTAGAAGGCCTTTCCCTTTTGTTTGGCCCGCTTTGATTCCTTGTTAATACCAGAATAGAACTTCAGGAAAATAATCAGCTGTTTCAATAGGATATAAGCAAAAATGGGCTATCTTTGACATCTCTTACACTCACTCTGGATAAGAGCGTCTGCTAAATGACTAAAATTTAAATCTCTTAAAAGATTGCCAGCAGAGCGTCACAGACTCCCAACTCCCAAGTTGCACAGAAATATAAAAAAATCCTTTGAGGAGATGTTGATTTTTATCAAACTCATGTTGTGCACCCATCTGAATATTTATGTTGGGATGCCAGAGAAAACAAGCGGTGCCCCTAAAGTAGGCCTAATCACGCCTTGGTCAGTGAGAAACAAATTATATGGTTTGACCTCCTTTAAAGCCATGTTTGAAAATAGCCTATAGGCATAGAAGTACATCTCATGAGCTCATATTTTTTATAATAATGATAATCTTCTTAGTAATGGTGAGAAGGTTAGTTGTGGTTGGTTTATTTAGATTTGTATTAAAAACATGTTTCTATTAAGTATGCTGTAGGTGTAGGTCACACTACCACACAGAAAAGAAATAGCCATACTTTATCAAATTTGGGACACACCTTTACCTTTAACACAGTTACTGATAAACATAGCCAACAGGCGTAGTTTATTTCACACTCGAAAATTAGTCCAGAGTTCACAAATTCTAAATACTCTGTAGTTGACAAGTGGGCGTATATACAGTGGGGAGAACAAGTATTTGATACACTGACGATTTTGCAGGTTTTTCTACTTACAAAGCATGTAGAGGTCTGTAATTTTTATCATAGGTACACTTCAACTGTGAGAGACGGAATCTAAAACAAAAATCCAGAAAATCACATTGTATGATTTTTAAGTAATTAATTTGCATTTTATTGCATGACATAAGTATTTGATACATCAGAAAAGCAGAACTTAATATTTGGTACAGAAACCTTTGTTTGCAATTACAGAGATCATACGTTTCCTGTAGGTCTTGACCAGGTTTGCACACACTGCAGCAGGGATTTTGGCCGACTCCTCCATACAGACCTTCTCCAGATCCTTCAGGTTTCGGGGCTGTCGCTGGGCAATACGGACTTTCAGCCCCCTCCAAAGATGTTCTATTGGGTTCAGGTCTGGAGACTGGCTAGGCCACTCCAGGACCTTGAGATGCTTCTTACGGAGCCACTCCTTAGTTGCCCTGGCTGTGTGTTTCGGGTCGTTGTCATGCTGGAAGACCCAGCCACGACCCATCTTCAATGCTCTTACTGAGGGAAGGAGGTTGTTGGCCAAGATCTCGCGAAACATGGCCCCATTCATCCTCCCCTCAATACGGTGCAGTCGTCTTGTCCCCTTTACAGAAAAGCATCCCCAAAGAATGATGTTTCCACCTCCATGCTTCACGGTTGGGATGGTGTTCTTGGGGTTGTACTCATCCTTCTTCTTCCTCCAAACACGGCGAGTGGAGTTTAGACCAAAAAGCTATATTTTTGTCTCATCAGACCACATGACCTTCTCCCATTCCTCCTCTGGATCATCCAGATGGTCATTGGCAAACTTCAGACGGGCCTGGACATGCGCTGGCTTGAGCAGGAGGACCTTGCGTGCGCTGCAGGATTTTAATCCATGACGGCGTAGTGTGTTACTAATGGTTTTCTTTGAGACTGTGGTCCCAGCTCTCTTCAGGTCATTGACCAGGTCCTGCCGTGTAGTTCTGGGATGATCCCTCACCTTCCTCATGATCATTGATGCCCCACGAGGTGAGATCTTGCATGGAGCCCCAGACCGAGGGTGATTGACCGTCATCTTGAACTTCTTCAATTTTCTAATAATTGCGCCAACAGTTGTTGCCTTCTCACCAAGCTGCTTGCCTATTGTCCTGTAGCCCATCCCAGCCTTGTGCAGGTCTACAATTTTATCCCTGATGTCCTTACACAGCTCTCTGGTCTTGGCCATTGTGGAGAGGTTGGAGTCTGTTTGATTGAGTGTGTGGACAGGTGTCTTTTATACAGGTAACGAGTTCAAACAGGTGCAGTTAATACAGGTAATGAGTGGAGAACAGGAGGGCTTCTTAAAGAAAAACTACCAGGTCTGTGAGAGCCGGAATTCTTACTGGTTGGTAGGTGATCAAATACTTATGTCATGCAATAAAATGCAAATTAATTACTTAAAAATCATAAAATTTGATTTTCTGGATTTTTGTTTTAGATTCCGTCTCTCACAGTTGAAGTGTACCTATGATAAAAAATTACAGACCTCTACATGCTTTGTAAGTAGGAAAACCTGCAAAATCTGCAGTGTATCAAATACTTGTTCTCCCCACTGTATAGGGGTCCAACATGCCAGAAAACCTGGCTTTTAAGTAAGCTCTGTGCGTTAGGCTATACTGCTGCTGCCAACATGTGTTCATATGGCTTCAAAGGCTCATAAAATGTTTCCACTGTTGCCTCAGGTTGTGAGCAGTAGCCTAGCCTAGTCTACTCCTGGAACGACTTAAGTGGGAGAATAACTAGTACTAGCCTATTGCCAATTGCACATCTGGAGATCTCTAGTAGCCAAGTATGGCACCATATGCTTGCCTAAATGAGGGTGCCACAGTGTCATGATCTATGTTGTAGAATGTGTTTAGGTCTCTTTACTGCAAGGCAATATGCATTTCATTGATCTTCGAGTTTATTTAACTGTTCATGCCTTGAAAGCGTAATTTGGAGATTAGTAATTTTATGTTTTTGGGGGTTTGGTGACTGGTTGAAAAGACCGTGCACAACAAACACAACAAATCCAGGTGGAACATTAGTAATTAAATTCAGGCATATCTATTAAGTTAGGGGCCTACTTAGCTCAATGAAATCTTCCTTAATAAAACATGAAACCCTCACTCGCCAATCTATCCTCTGCGCGCAGCAACGCCCCTTTATGCCAGTGCAATAGGTCTACAACTAAACCGCGTTGAGCTTGCTGTGTGTGTTTATTCTCGACACATCAGCAGAAGGCAAGAGAGGCGGCAGCGTGTTTCTCTCACCGGTGTCTCCTTTCAGTGACACTTCCTCCCTAGGGGGTTAGTCATTTATAGTTGAAGCTTGGAGCACAGCTGGTACCCCAGGGTGTGTAATGTCACGTAGGAGTTTCGATTATTTTAAAATATATTACCAGACACAAAAAAACAAGTCTCATTGTCCCCCGCCGCGCCTACCTTTGGACGGTCAGTAGCGGGCTCTCTTTGGTCAGTGTCGCTTGCACTCGGAGGCTGGCTTTTTGCTTTGGGACACTCGGAGGCTGGCTTTTTGCATTGGATATGGGTGAAATCTGCTCAAGGCGCGGGCAATGACACATGTAACAGGATGATGGACAAGGACGCTTTGAAGGGAGTCTTCTCTCTGTCAGTTGCATGGTGTTTTCTGGTCTCAGTTTCTGGAAAGGTATGTGTCTGTTTTATCTTTCATCGTCACTTTCGTTTTCTGTTTGCGAGGGGATATGAATTGACAACAGAAAGGTAAGCAGGTAACTCACATATAACCTAACCAAATTCCTTACGATTTACATTAATTTGGGAACATGTAGGTAGGTTATAGACTTCGCGTAGTCTATTGGCTATGTAACATACACCTATGTGTAATTGCAAAATAAATGCTGTGAGTGGTACCTTCCCGTGTGCCAGTAAACCCGAATTCTGAGGTTAAACAATCCAAATTGGGTCACACACATTCACCTGAATATTCACCTGAATGTATCCTATTAGGCCTGCTCTACTGCTGCAGTGGATCATTGTTGAGCTTTCGCTTTTATTTTTCTTCCAATTATTTTATAGTGCCATATGTATGCTACATTTCACTAAGGACTTTGATCCCAAGAAAACTTAAGAACCAGCAATAGCCTTTAGCCTACCCTTATCAGTTTGTTTTATTGGGCCAGACTATCACCTTATCCTCAGCAATTAAACTTGGCTTGCTGTTGTCATAAGGTAGCCCATCCTAATATACTGTAAATACAGTATCACTTTGTAAAACAATTTGGAGAAATAAATGACGAGCTTTTCTAAATACATTTCTGAAGACTGACTGTGTGTGCTAAAGCCTGCACATTAAGCGCACACATCAATTGGTAAATACAACGATGCTCTACTGTATAAATTCGGTTGAATAGGACCCAATTATGTTTGTTCTCCGCCAGCGATGTCATTAGATGACGAGATATATTTTGGTCAAACCGCAACATCCCTTGCGGGGGTCGTGCGTCAGAGTTATCTCATCATGCGTTTTATAGTCGTTAAAGCCACGCACACTAAGGTGTTTAAGAGTGAGCCACCAAGAAAATGTTCAACAATGGGGCAAATGCATTCAATGATATCGTCATACTTCCTTGCAAATTAGCAATTGATTTAAATAGCCAATGACATTCCTTGAGAGCAACATTTTTGTAAAACATGGTTCGAGACTGTAGGCTACATCATTTTTAAGTGACAACAAAAGCACACACAATGGAGTAAAATGCAACGGTTGTAGGTTACTTGGTTGCACTTTATAACTTTCAATGTTAAACGCTATAAATGCTTACAAATTATAAATGCTTATGAACTGTAATGTTGATTAAATGCTTATTCATGTTTATAAATGTTTACAAATAATGAAATACTAATTTATTAATGTGTATAAGCTACTATTTATGAATAGTTTATTAAGTCTTATTAATGTTATTATAAAGTGTTACCCATTGACAACAGTGAATTCATTTTTAAATAGGCTAAGGAACTACAGCATCTGGTCCTTTCCCCCAACAAATCCTTTTCGAGAACTCTAGCTTCTAGCTGCCCCTGTCTCCATTAGATTGACAGATGCAATTATTCGAGTTCTGATTAAGGTGCAGCTGTTTCCCATGCATGACAGTATTGCTTTTAGTGGCCTGAGTGGGGATAGTGGTGCCATAAAGTAGAACCCTTTAACTTAACCCCTCAATCATTTAATTGCTTTCTGCATAGACATTCTAAGCGATGCCACCTGCTCCCGGCCTCAGTGGTAAAAAAGTAATTGAAAACAGAAGAGAAGAGGGATAAACATGGTTAACACAGTGTAACAATGCTTTTCACAGATCTACAGAATAGCATAGATAGGTTATAGAGTAAAACCATATTTCTACAAGTAGGCTACAATATAATACTAGAGAGAGAAAAAGTTGTTGTGTATGAAGGCTGCAAACAATCTGACAGGCTACTTATGAACAGGCATCCATAACCTAATGTGGAAAACTTGGTCTAAATTAAATAGGCCTGCAGCGTCATATTCTGTTGTCTTTTTTGTTGTTGTTGCAGGTCATCTCTCAAGATGGCTACCTAAATGCTCTGCAGAGTGCAGGTAGACACCTCTTTTCCTCTTCCTCTTATTTCTAATAGGTCTTGATTTCATCCATCCATCATTGTGATTCTGCCAAGTCATCCAAGGACATGGATGAATGACTCAGCAGCACTAATTTAATAGCCTAAATCAGGGATGGGCAACTCCAGTCCTCGGGGGCCAGACTGGTGTCACACTTTTGTCCCAGCTAACACAGCTGACTCCAATAATCAACTAATCATGATCGTCAGTTTAGAATGCAATTCAATTAATCAGCTGTGTTTGCTAGGGATGGGGAAAAAGTGTCACACCACTCTGGCCCCCGAGTTGGTCATCCCAGGCCTAAATGATCAACCTAGTGGGATGATGTGGGGTGTGGATGTGAGATGGCGAAATGTTGTTTCAGCAAGATTTCACAATTTCAAATAAAAAGCTTGAAAAAAAGCCTCCCTCCTCTGCTAAATACGTTATCAGCAAGTCCTTTGATGTCACCAGCACTGCTGATAATCAGAAGGTGATTCTAATTGAGCCCCTGAAGGATGGGATGAAATTCAGGCAACAATCAACTCCCTCATCAGTCTCTCTCTTTTGTTCTTTCTCTCTCTTCCATTCTCGCTCTCTCTCTTTCCTTTTCTCTCTCTCTCTTTCCTTTTCTCTCTCTCTCTTTCCTTTTCTCTCTCTCTCTCTCTCTCTCTCTCTCTCTCTCTCTCTCTCTCTCTCTCTCTCTCTCTCTCCTCTCTCTCTCTCTCTCTCTCTCTCTCTCTCTCTCTCTCTCTCTCTCTCTCTCTCTCTCTCTCTTTCTCTCTCTGTTTAACAGTGGAAGAGGTCTGCTGGGATTGTCACTCTCTTTATCCACGGACAAAAGACACATAACCAGCCCCCCACCCCCCTCCATGATTGTCTCATGTTTAAGCTTTCATTTATGGAAATGAGAGTGGCCCTGATTTAAGAGCCCTGACATAATCTCTGATAGACTCCCACTCTCCATCAACCAGATACTGTATGTCTGTCTGGTCCTTGTCTTTGTGAAGTGACTGTTATGTTATGAGGTCTCAACCAGTCTGGCTCTTATAGGTTGTTTCCGTTTGTGGCTCAACTATAGACACCCATTGGGGATAGAATGCAAGCTATGTTAAGAGACTATAGAGCTTAGTTAAACTGGGACGGACAGTGAGACAGTTTTATGACACCCACGTGCATACTGAGTTTCTTTCTCTCAAAGAAAAAATTCAAAACAATTCCACCTAGTCTATCAAAGATCAAGATGGAGCTATTACCATATTGCTCATACCTATCCAATCCTTTTAGATCTACATGAAGTGACCAGGGTTTGGGACAAGGGGTCAATCTGGAATTGGGCAAAGTATTGCTCCTTCAAGATGTATTTTCTCTCAGGCATCAACCCTCTCCAGTCTTAAGTCACTAAGCCTGTGCGAATGCGGACCAGCAGTCCCTCAAACAAACACAGACAGGGGTTAGGCCACTCGCTGGGCGAGTGTAGATTTGCAAGGGATCACTCACAGCTGTTAATGTTTATCCAGCGACACCTCAAAGGACTTGCCATCCTTAATCCACTGGTTTAGAGCGTTCATGAGGAGGAGTTTAGGTGCGTGAAGAGGATATCTTCCTTTCCTGGCTGGACCCCAGTGCCCATTTCCACTTACCTCCACTCTCCTAAGGGTTTAACACTTGGCTCTAGAGGAATGTTAGCACGTCTCTCCTTCATATCCTATACAGTACGCACACACCATGGGCTGAGGTACTGCCATATCAGTTACACATCACAGGAAGCATGGGCCTAAAGGTAAAGATTATCCTACTTCTACTAAAGATTGATTGTTTGGCAGATAAGCGCATACATAGCCCATTGAAAAGGGGCTATGTCATAGTTGATCTGGATTTGCTTTAACTGACATTCTCAAGCAAATGTCTCCATTATTTTCATGATGTATTACCAGACATTGATCCCTTGGAAATGCATGGGTTATTTATGGACTAAGTTCAGTGCTGGCTCTGGCTCTGGTTGCCATTAAATGTCTGCCTCTGCATTAAACCACAGACCCTCCCCCTGTTTAAAACTCAATCTGTGGACCAGATGAATGTGTTTATTGGCCCACTGTTATTCATTGTGATGGGTCATCTTTACAAGTTTTCAGGTTGTCTGAAGGTAGCCCGCCACGCTCTGTGACTCAGCAAAGCAGACCTACACAAATACTCTGGCCCCTGCACTGCAGCACCGTGCTGTCAGTCTGACCAGCCAGGTGGCTCACTCCTTTACCTCCGAGGAGAGAGAGAGAGGTGGAACCAAAAGAGAGAGAGACAAAGGAGAGGAAATTGTGTGAACGCCTGCCTGATTTTTTGTGACTTAATTATAAAACTCTGCTTTAATCCCCCCAATCACTTCGTCTCACAAAAATGTGTATCGCTATACTGTATTAACTAAGCTTCAACAGAAGCTCATCCTTTGATTAACCCCTTGTATCTGAATGTGTCTCTCCCTAGCTCCTCTGTCCTGTTCAGAAGGCTTCACTGAACTGGGCTACTACAACGGCTCTGTGTCTCAGACTGACTCTGGCTCGCCCTGCCTGAAGTGGACAGAGTTCCCAGACTACGTCCTGCAGTACCCAAGCCGGGGGCTGGGCGAACACAGCTACTGCCGCAACCCTGACCGTGAGTCCAACCCCTGGTGCTTCTTCCGCCAGAGCTCTGGAGCCATCGGCTGGGCCTACTGCGACTGCCACCAGGGTGAGGATTTACCGACTGATACTTACTTCAAGGGAATCAATACTGCTGGGTAACTACCTGGAACCAGATTATTAATAGTAGTGTATGAATTCCAAAGACACCAAAAAGTAATTGCTAGGTATCTTTGAATCTTTGCAGTGGTTTTGGGGTGATCATGTTGCTCTGGCAGGAGATCTATGTCTCTGACTGTCTAGGGAAGCTACAGTGCATTTGGAAAGTGTTCAGACCCCTTCACCTGTTCCACATTTTGTTACGTTACAGCCTTATTCTAAAATTGATTAAATAAAAACATTTACTCATCAATCTACAGACAATACCCCACATAATGACAAAGTGAAAACAGGTTTTTAGAAATATTTGCAAATGTATTAAAAATCAAAACAGAAATACCTTATTTACATAAGTATTCAGACCCTTTGCTATGAGACTCGAAATTGAGCTCAGGTGCATCCTGTTTCCATTGATCATCCTTGAGATGTTTCTACAACTTGATTGGAGTCCACCTGTGGTAAATTCAATTGATTGGACATGATTTGGAAAGGCACACATCTGTCTATATAAAGCAAAAACCAAGCCATGAGGTCGAAGGAATTGTCCATAGAGCTCCGAGATAGGATTGTGTCGAGGCTCAGATCTGGGGAAGGGTACCGAAAAATATCTGCAGCATTGAAGGTCCCCAAGAACACAGTGGCCTCCATCATTCTTAAATGGAATAAGTTTGGAACCACCAAGACTCTTCCTAGAGATGGCCGCCTGGCCAAACTGAGCAATCGGGGGAGAAGGGCCTCGGTCAGGGAGGTGACCAAGAAACCGATGGTCACTCTGACAGAGCTCCAGAGTTCCTCTGTGGAGATGGGAGAACCTTCCAGAAGGACAACCATCTCTGCAGCACTCCACCAATCAGGCCTTTATGGTAGAGTGGACAGATGGAAGCCACTCCTCAGTAAAAGGCACATGACAACCCGCTTGGAGTTTGCCCAAATGCACCTAAAGGACTCTCAGACCATGAAAAACAAGATTCTCTGGTCTGATGAAACCAAGATTGAACTCTTTGGCCTGAATGCCAAGCGTCACGTCTGGAGGAAACCATGCACTGCTCATCACCTGGCCAATACCATCCCTACGGTGAAGCATGGTGGTGGCCGCATCATGCTGTGGGGATGTTTTTCAGCGGCAGGGACTGGGAGACTAGTCAGGATCGAGGGAAAGATGAACGGAGCAAAGTACAGAGAGATCCTTGATGAAAACCTGCTCCAGAGTGCTCAGGACCTCAGACTGGGGCAAAGGTTTACCTTCCAACAGGACAACAACCCTAAGCATACAGCCAAGACAACGCAGGAGTGGTTTCGGGATAAGTCTCTGAATGACCTTGAGTGGCCCAGCCAGAGCCCGGACTTGAACCCGATTTGAACATCTCTGGAGAGATCTGAAAATAGCTGTGCAGCAACACTCACCATCCAACCTGACAGAGCTTGAGATGATCTGCAGAGAAGAATGGGAGAAACTCCCCAAATACAGGTGTGCCAAGCTTGTAGCGTCATACCCAAGAAGACTCGAGACTGTAATCGCTGGCAAAGGTATGTCTGCCTCTCTGTCAGTCGTCTCCTGTGTTTTCCACCTATCCATCAGGCAGCTGATATTGTTCTCTCTGTGACTCCCGCCCTCCTTTGGGAGTGTAAAGGCATCCACATACATAGGAGCAAACCGAACCTAGCAGAATTCGGCTAGGTGAAGTGAAAGTCTGCGCTCGCATATTCCCTAAAGACCTTTGCTTAAAAAACTATCAAAATGCCTGAAAAATCAAGAAATCTTTAATTAGTTTTGATGTTTTTGCTTAGTCGCGCAATTTTACATCTAGCTAAGATGTTTGGTACAGTACTTCTCAATTGAACATTTTTGCATGAAAACTAGTAGTGCACTGCAGACAGTAGGGCCTAGCTGCCGCTGTGCTCTCTCGTTGAATGACAGCAAACACTTCATTGAAGAATCCCGCCCATAGTTCCCACCCCTACTGTTGACCAATCACAGACGAAGGGGCATAGACTTCGGCTACCGAACTTCGACTTGCTTCAAGAAATTTATTTGTGTGCGCGAACAGCCTGAAAAAACCCCTGCCGAATACCAAAACGTCAAAAATGGCATCATAATATATGCTCAAACTGTTTTGACTAAGAAACATGTGTCAGCCTTTACCCTGCTTGTCCATTCGTGTTATGATGAGTTTCTCGGTTATCAAGTAATCAAGGATGTAAGAATATACTTAGACACTTTGTAGAAAGTTAATGCAAATGTTTTATTAGTCGGTACCGGGTTAGATACAACAAGGGCAGAGCTTTGCCTCTTGCTGTTTCCAACTGACTCTAACATTTACATTTTTACATTTTAGTCATTTAGCAGACGCTCTTATCCACAGCGACTTACAGTTAGTGAATACATATTTGTTTTATACTGGCCCCCCGTGGGAATCGAACCCACAACCCTGGCGGTGCAAACGCCATGCTCTATCAACTGAGATCTGGAGACTGGCTAGGCCACTCCAGGACCTTGAAATGCTTCTTACGAAGCCACTCCTTCGTTGCCCAGGCGGTGTGTTTGGGATCATTGTCATGCTGAAAGACCCAGCCACGTTTCATCTTCAATGCCCTTGCTGATGGAAGGAGGTTTTCACTCAAAATCTCACGATACATGGCCCCATTCATTCTTTCCATTACACGGATCAGTCGTCCTGGTCCCTTTGCAGAAAAACAGCCCCAAAGCATGATGTTTCCACCCCCATGCTTCACAGTAGGTATGGTGTTCTTTGGATGCAACTCAGCATTCTTTGTCCTCCAAACACGACGAGTTGAGTTTTTACCAAAAAGTTATATTTTGGTTTCATCTGACCATATGACATTCTCCCAATACTCTTCTGGATCATCCAAATGCACTCTAGCAAACTTCAGACGGGCCTGGACATGTACTGGCTTAAGCAGGGGGACACGTCTAGCACTGCAGGATTTGAGTCCCTGGCGGCGTAGTGTGTTACTGATGGTAGGCTTTGTTACTTTGGTCCCAGCTCTCTGCAGGTCATTCACTAGGTCCCCCCGTGTGGTTCTGGGATTTTTGCTCACCGTTCTTGTGATCATTTTGACCCCACGGGGTGAGATCTTGCGTGGAGCCCCAGATCGAGGGAGATTATCAGTGGTCTTGTATGTTTTCCATTTCCTAATAATTGCTCCCACAGTTGATTTCTTCAAACCAAGCTGCTTACCTATTGCAGATTCAGTCTTCCCAGCCTGGTGCAGGTCTACAATTTTGTTTCTGGTGTCCTTTGACAGCTCTTTGGTCTTGGCCATAGTGGAGTTTGGAGTGTGACTGTTTGAGGTTGTGGACAGGTGTCTTTTATACTGATAACAAGTTCAAACAGGTGCCATTAATACAGGTAACGAGTGGAGGACAGAGGAGCCTCTTAAAGAAGAAGTTACAGGTCTGTGAGAGCCAGAAATCTTGCTTGTTTGTAGGTGACCAAATACTTATTTTCCACTATAATTTGCAAATAAATTCATTAAAAATCCTACAATGTGATTTTCTGGAAAAAAAATTCTCAATTTGTCTGTCATAGTTGATGATGAAAATTACAGGCCTCTCTCATCTTTTTAAGTGGGAGAACTTGCACAATTGGTGGCTGACTAAATACTTTTTTCCCCACTGTACATTCCCTCTTTATCTACTATAATAGCATCCAATGCTATGTGATTATCACTTACATAGTCTAATGAGTAACATCTCAGACCCAATTGCTTAAAAACCCATGATTGTTAAAAGATACAATGTTCAACTCCGACTTTGTCCTCCTACTATTCCTAATATGACAAACACATTATAACACTCTATTTTCACTCCCTGTTAAATCATTACATCCCTAAACTATTCATGCTTTAAGAATTCTATCAAAATCAGATCATATAAAAATATCATAACCCCATGATAGTAACCAATTAAGTACTTGCCTATCAACATAGATATTTACCACTCTAAACATCCATATCAATATCACCCAATACTTCAAATGTATATAATGACTAAAAGGCTAATACGTTAACCCAATTAATCAACATATTCATGATTTCATTCACAATCCTCACATTAACAAACAGTATGATTCAACAATGTCTACTCAAAATAAATCATATAAGTGTATCCTAAGACATTACCATAATGTATCACTGTTTTTAACCCATAATATATATATAAAACATTTCTCAATTGTACAATAAATATCCTTCATTCTGAAAATAATTATACTAATACATACTAATGATTCACTTAAATTACTCATTCCTCTTATAAATTATAACCAACCAAATTACTTAACTCAACCTAATTTAAAATGACAATCCTTATTGATTCACTTTATCCTTATCAATGAAAATTAAAACCCTCAACTTTATCACCCATTACAACTGTCAGAATGTACACTTATATTAACATACAGTATAAACATCCATAAATCAATTATGACTTTCCTCATCCTGATAATAAATACAGATCATTATCTCAATGCATTCTTAATACTATTAATTTAGCAGTGTATATACCTACTACCCAAATTAGCAAATTTAGATTAATCCAATTTTATTATCAACACAGCTAAGCAACCCCTTTTTCTCCCGGCACTTAAATCTTCTGGCGTCTCTTCATTATGTTCTTCAGACATCTTCACATTTCAAAATGACTTGCCCATGACAATGTCACAACTACAATGTCTCATTCGAGTCACCACCAACTCCACAACCTCATTTTTCTTGTCCATTTGCCAACCATTATGCCCACAACATAAAAAATGTTGCATTTGAACATATATCTCTCCATTATCACTCAATGGTGGACTCCTTTCCCACTCCTTCAATATAATAACATGAGAAAATCCTTTGATACCTTTGATTGGTTGTTGTAGACATGTTGCATGTAGAAGTGGTATTTTACAAAAACGTCTTCAACGCCTCTGATATTTATCTTCAGCCGGTTCATAAGTTTGTTACTTTTATTTCTTTAGATTCACACCATGCTAGTCCAAATTATCCCTGCCATGCATCAAGACACCATCTGTATTTATCTCACTAGAAGACAAACATAACATTTTAATTGATTACATTTCTAATCCAATAAATCCATACAATCATTGACCATATGACAAATTATTATGTTTTAACAATTATTCTTAATACCAATTTCTAAATACTTCCCAATTTCTGTTCACATCGCTCTGTGTAGCGTCCTTCTTGCGTCGCACCAATATGGATTCAAGATTCACTGCTGCAACGATACACAAGCATAAACACAAAAACAATGCTCCACAGTGGCAGTTCCATCTTCCTCCTCTGATTTTTAACACTCCTACCGTGGGACAAATATATGCACAAATCTCTCTATCTAATGTCACCTCCATTGAGGTAGCCAGCAACACCTAGTACTAACCACTCCTTCTAGATTCTGTCCAGCTCTTACTTTTGTAATCCTCCACTGCCACATAGTCACCCATGCACAGAAAATGCCCAGATACTTCTTTCATGTTGGCAGAGTTGCCTTCACCTTTTTGAAAGAAAGTCTGCATAACATTGTTAGTTGAGACACAGTATGCTACTTTACGCAGTCTACTTATCAATCAGTCAGGAAAAGCCTTGATTAGGAAGTGCACATTCTTGCATCTTGTTATAGTCACTAGTTTCCATAGACATGCCTCCACTACATTCTACCTTATACCACAAATACATTTTCACCTAAAACATTTAATCTAACCCATAACACAATAATTACTACTGCTCATATTCTTACTACAATATGCAAATGTACCAATAAATCCTCTTACCATCATTATTACCCCCTTTTCTGAACACATGAGTCACAACGTGATTCATGCTTTCAAAAACAAAACACCAACAATGTTTATTAAACCATAATAAAAATGAAATAAAAATGACAACATTTGATAATACCTCAACTTACTTCTATCCCGTAAAGTAACCCAAGATTAGTACAATTAACTAGCAACAGGTATCCCCCATTCAGGGAAAGCTCTCTCTCTCTTTTGATATTTTATGGTTCGAATCACATATATTATTACCAAATTATAAACTTCTTCACAATTTTCAGTTTTATAAATTACCCTCAACTCGGTAAAATAAACTATCTTAAAGTCCTCTTCTCATTGTCTTTAGAATTACCAGTGTGGATGATCAATTCACACTAGAAAGTCAAAACAGTGTTCAGAGGTCCTTGAAATCATTCAACGCAATGTTCCATCCTATAGTATACTAAACATTAGAACCATTCAAAACATTTCATAAATGTTACTTATCCCAAGTGTACATTAAGTCCTCATGACATTTCTTCTCATAAGAAATCATGTATATAAGCAAAACTCAATCAAAAAAAAAAAACTCCATAAAATTCACTGTGTGTGCTCCTTTAAGACTTATCACCTTTGACCTGTTGAAAACCCCCTAAAATCAAAATAACTCCTTATAAACATCATACTAGGTGTGTTGTGTTTTATTTGAAAAACCCAATTGAAAACAACAAACAAAAATAGCCAGGCCTTAATTAATTTGGTAGCTCCCTTTTACGACCTAAAACTGCCTAACTTCACTAAACTGCTCCCCCTAGCCCTGGGCAACATTCCAATGAGATAAGGCAATCCCCTTTCTCCTGGAAGAGAAATTATACATTTTGTTAACATTCAATTACAATCAATAATCCAAAAATAGTAAGTACACACAAAACATGATACAGATATACACAGTCCTATCTCATCAATAATCGTTTGTATCAATCTAATTACTCATAACTACTCCATAAAAAGATTATATAAAATCTCTCAAAAGATGAAAACCACTCATATTTCTTGAGTATACAATGATTATGTTTAATTGATTACCGTTCAGATCATATCCTCTTTAAATCTCACAATGATTATTGAACCCCTAAATCTGCTCCATGTGAATTAGCCAACCGTCTGTCTTTGTACTGGTCTGTCAGCAACTTGCTTGTATGTAGATATGCCCGTGTTGAGATATGTTTGCATTATCTGTCTGTCTCTTTTGAATTCTCCCAAGCTTTCTCTTTCAAACGGTTAACCTTTCTCAGGGTTTGTAGCCGATTAGAGTTAGGGTGTATGTGCGTGAATGTGTGTGTGTTTGTCTGGTGCGTGCCTGTCAGGTTGGAATATGTAAGTGTTACAAGACCCGCAAACCAAGGATAATGCAATTATCCTGAGATAATCACACCTGTTGGATTTATGGTTTACTTGGGAGCACTTTGTCGGTCTGTCTGTTTCTGATGGGTGTGAGAGAGAGATGTCCCACCTGTCATTTCAAATGATTTCACAATCTCTGGTGCTGTTCCATACCTTAATGCCCTCTCTCCTCTCCCTCCTCTCCAGGAGCTGCCAGGTTGTTAGGTGGGTCCTCCCCTCAGAGCGGGCGTCTGGAGGTATACCTAAATGGCCAGTGGGGGGCGGTATGTGACACACACTGGACCGACCGCGATGCCAGTGTGATCTGCAAACAGCTTGGACTGGGGTGAGAGCTACTGAGATACTTGTATAACTGCTTCTTGTGTGTGTGTGTCAAATTCTACCCTCCACTCCTGACTGTCCACCTGTCTTTCTCTCTCCACCCATCCTGTCTTTCTGTCTGCAGTGAGATCGGCACGGCCCTCCAGCACTCCTACTTCGGGCCTGGCTCTGGACTCTTCCACTATGAACGCCTTGGCTGCCGTGGCAATGAAAACTCTCTGCTGGATTGCAGGAGTCGGAAGTTTGTCACCAGTGACTGTAACCATGGCAATGAAGCGGGGGTGGTGTGTGCTGCACCTGAAGGTGAGGGTGTTGGAGATTTCAAAACAGCCATTGGTATAAAGCATACATTTCTCACAAGTGCTACACATACAGTATAAATGTAGTACATACTATACTGGTAGGCCTAGTACACGTGTAGAGGTATCTAAAGTTGTGGAGAGCCACTTCCCCTTTAGTTGAGTAAGACAGTGATAGAGAGAGACTGTTGTCCCTCTCTCTTAGAGCTCCAGTGTCCTTCTCCCACCTCAGTCAGAGCTCCATAACACAAACACTGCATGGCTAGAACAAGAACAGTCTCTTCTGATGTTGCCTGCCTAGTCATTCACATAGCTTTTAGAGCTCTCTGAGCCTGCCAGCACGCTCTCGCGGCTTCTACAGCACTCATGTCATGGCATCCCAAAGGGGCATAGGGAACTACAACAGCAGTGTGTGTGTGTTTGTGTGCCTCTGCGTGTGTGTTAGAATGAGGGTACAGAGAGGGGTGCCCAGAAGAGCAGGCCCTGGTGATATATTTAGCGTGGTGCAGTGAATTATTCAGTCTGGAACATTAAGAGGGAGAGAGCTATCTGAGAGCCCTGAGGCCCTGCTAGGGGGTTGGGAGAGGTCCCACAGGGCACACATAAAGCCCCCCCTACCCCAAACAACCTCCCCACCTCCTCAACTTCTCTGCCAGGGTTGCTCACATACTCAGATTGCATAACTGATCCCCACCTCTTTCCTTCTCCCTGCATCCCGCACATACTTATACTTGCTGTAGTTTCAAATGACTTGCTGGAGCTTTGAACCAAACTGAGCCAGGGTTAGGGGTCACTGCGTTCCAACAGTTCTGTGGTTCAGATCACTTTATTTATCATGGCACTGGGCAAGAGGTTATTTACATTTGCATTCATCAAGGACACCATAAGTGGACAAGGAGATAACTTAGAAGAACAGTGGTTTCTATTGTAACATGATGCTAACATGTTCTGCCTAGTAACTGCTTTCTGCTGTATTTCTCAGGCAATGGCGCCCCCTTGAGGTTGGTAGGTGGCCTGGAGGACTTCGAGGGTCGTGTGGAGGTGTACCATGATGAGAGGTGGGGCACCATCTGTGATGACCAGTGGGATGACATCGATGCTGAGGTGGTCTGTCGGCAGCTGGGACTGGGGTGAGCAGCACTGGGGTTCTGATGGCTCAGTTGGTTGGAGCATGGTGCTTGACTTGCAGGAAGCATATGGGTTATTAATGTGATTCCCTCCGCTAAATGTGACCCAGTTCCTATGTAGGTATAAACTAGAGGTGAAGCCCTATCAGTGGTTGCAAACAGTAAGGGTTCCCAGGCATGAAGTTGCCCACCAACCAAGGCTCTCTGCTCTCCACAAAGCTGCATGCACTCCTGCTAGGATAGCCTTATTTACACTGCTACATTCCCACTGAGTGAACTATATTAATATAGATGAACGGAAGGCATGAATATTTGATGGCCTACAGTGTTTTGGGTTGTTGCTCTGCTGGAGAGGAGCCAGCTGATCCAGATCATTCAGAAGTCATCGTTGCTCTTAGCAGATCACCCACATGTAGCCACGCACACACACACAAAATGAGTGGCTTACAGTACAAAGAGTGGATAAACAAAAAAACAGAGTGGATCGGTCTCAGGACTCATTTCAGATCTTCCACTGGTCATGAATAATTAATTTCTCCATTATACTGACTATATTTGGTGTATGTGAGTGTTCAACAGAGATTGGTGTTTTTGTGCAGTGTAAATGTGTTTCTCTGTACAGTACGTGTAAGGCCTGTTTACTTGGTGGGAATACATTTTCTATGTGTACATTGGGATGACCCTTGAGTGGTTGCCATATATTGCATACGTTGTCCATATATGGTGTTTGTATTTCTTGTGTGAGTTCATATGGTCATTGTGCATGCCTGTGTGTGTGTCCACTCAGGGGGGTACCGAAGGCATGGACGTGGGCCCACTTTGGCCAGGGCTCTGGGCCCATCCTCCTGGACGGGGTGCAGTGTACAGGCAACGAGCTCTCCCTGGAGGAGTGTCCCCACAACAACTGGCAACAACATAACTGTGACCACATGGAGGATGCTGGAGTGTCCTGTAACCCATATACAGGTCAGAAGTCAGGACAGGGCAGGAACGCTATGTGTATGTAAACACCCAGAACATACACATATTTGTATGCAAAACACATGCATGTCTCATATACTCTGTCTCATACACTCTGTCTCATACACTCTGTCTCATACACTCTGTCTCATACACTCTGTCTCACACACACACCGTGTTGCAGATGGTGTAGTGCGGCTGGTGGGGTCTGACAGTCCCTGGGAAGGTCGTCTGGAGGTGTACCACTCTGGGGACTGGGGTACGGTGTGTGACGACAACTGGACTGAGCACCACGCACAGGTGGTCTGTAGACAGCTGGGCTTCAGGTGGGTCACCAGGAGTCCTTAAATGTACAAATACAATCTGAACATGGGAATTAGGTGTAGCTGTAGTAGGAGTGTAGTGATACTGTAGTAATGGCATGTTCTGTCCAGCAGAGGGCGTGCAGAGGTGGCATCAGACGGGCTGTACGGGGAGGGCACAGGGCTGATCCTGCTGGATGAGGTGCAGTGTAAAGGCTCAGAGGGCACCCTGCTTGCCTGCGGGCACGCCGAGTGGGGGCGCCATGACTGCTCCCACAGCGAGGACATAGCGGTGCGCTGTGAGAGGGGGGGAGAGACCAATGAGGTGCTAGGGCTGCCACGCATCGCAGGTAGGCCAACTAACTGGACCCACTGAGTTCCTATCCACATATCTCTGTTAGATGTCTATCTCTTCTGGTGAATATGGCAAAGGAAAATTACAATTCAATATTGTTATTGTAATACATTGTGGTTCTCTGATCTGGCCCCAGGCCCTCTGGTGCGACTGGTTGCTGGAGAGAGCCGGAAGGAGGGGCGTGTGGAGGTGTTTCTGAACGGCCAATGGGGGAGCGTGTGTGATGACGGCTGGAATGACGTCAACGCTGCAGTGGTCTGCAGGCAGCTGGGATTTGTGTAAAATATGGATTCTCTCTGTTTCTCACAGTTACTGTATCATATATCCTTTCCCTCATCTGCGGTATACCTCATACCTCAAAGTCAAGTATGTGGTTAGACACCTGGCGTTTCCCTATCTCTGAGTGATCAACTCTTCCTTTAACTGCCATTCAGGAGATGAGGACATTTTGGAATATTGAGATTTACCTTCCCCGTGTCTCTTCCTCAGTGGGGTGTCGAAGGCTCGCTCCATGGCATATTTTGGAGCGGGCAAGGGCCCAATCTACCTGGACAATGTGAGGTGCACAGGGGTTGAGGTGTCCCTGGGGGAGTGTCCGGCCGAGGGAGAGGATGCCCATGACTGCAGACACAGCGAAGACGCAGGGGTCATCTGTGACTATGTCCCCGAGCCGGTGGGAGACGGCGCGATAATAACACAGACCTGCGGCATGAGGCCAAACACACAGCGCCGCAGGAGGAGGATAATAGGAGGGGACAAGTCAATTAGGTACACTGTAAACACACACACAAACATGCACAGGCATATAGGATGATCTGACAAACACACACACACACACACACACACACACCCACACACACACATATGGTTATATTACTTTGTATCACTGCATAGATACTGTACATGTAAACACATGCACAAGTCAAATTATCACATCATCAAATCAACCATGATCTATTTCTATGTTCTCTCTCCTCCCCTGGTTGTGCTGTGGTAGGGGGGACTGGCCATGGCAGGTGTCTCTGTGGCTCAAGTCCCAGTCCAAAGGGAACCATCCACTGTGTGGAGCCACGCTCATCAACTCCTGCTGGGTCCTGACTGCCGCACACTGCTTCAAGAGGTGGGACACAGAGACATCTAGTGTCCAATGATGGAATTGCAGGGACTACGTTATAAAAATGACGTGTGTTTAGCCTACAATAATGATCTATCAAGAAGCTTGTCTATGTCAATAATTGTATAAAATCTTCTTAATAAGAGATTAATGACATGCCACTGATAAGTGAAACTTTCTTGAGTCACTGTCTTGATCTTTTCAGCTCAAATGTGTTTTTCTTGGCAGGAGATAATCAGTCTTCTTTTCAGCTTGGCTTCAACTTCCTCAGACCTTGATTTCCTGTCTCCTCTCCTTTTCCTCCTTTCTCTCTCTCTTCTCTCCCTGTCTCCTAGGTTTGGCAGGGACCCATCTCGCTACGTGCTGCGACTGGGTGACTACCACACGGAGGAGAGGGATGACTTTGAGCGCAGCCTGTCCCCGGAGCGCATTACCATCCACAGGAAGTACCACAGCCAGGGCTGGGAGTATGACATCGCCCTGCTTAGGCTGAAGGGCACCGAGGGCAACTGTGTGGCCTTTAACCCTCATACCAACTCAGCGTGCCTCCCTGCGCCTGGCAACAAGTGGGGCAAGAGGCCAGCCGCCTGTGTCATCACAGGGTGGGGCATCACAGGTACTGAACACGAGCCTCTCTGTTACGGAGAGTTTCTTGTGTGTTTACATTGGAATCAGCCATTTGATCTGCATTGCATTATATTTTATATGACAGAACATTTCCATTTATTTTGGCTCCCTCTCTCTTATCTCTCTGTTCATCCCTCTCTCTCTCTCTCTCTTCTCTCTCTCTCTCTCTCTCTCTCAGACTCTGAATACTCCCGTACTCTGCTGCAGGCCTGGGTTCCCCTGCTGCCCTCATGGAAGTGTAAGAAGCGATACGGCGAGCGCTACACCAGCCGCATGCTGTGTGCGGGCAGCCTGTCAGACCGTCGGCGCGTGGACAGTTGCCAGGGTGACAGCGGTGGTCCCCTGGTGTGTCAGGGAGAGGGGGGCCGCTGGGTGCTGACGGGGGTAATCTCCTGGGGTCATGGCTGTGGTGACCCCTCCTTCCCTGGGGTGTACACGCGGGTCAGCAGGTTCCTGCGCTGGATTGACCAGGTCACCAACAACCCTCCAAGGATCTGACGCTGCCACTGTGCCATTGGACAGCCAGTGTTATCATGACTTTGGGGTCGAGGGAGTGGTGGGGGGATTAAAGGAGCAGTGACCGGTTAGAGAGGGTTACCACATCCTGGTATCTGCTCATGATCTCACCCATAAAGTTGCACATCCAGCAGAGCGCTTTTAAGTCACTTTTTTTTGCATACACTTGGAGAGCCTGTAAATGGCATTGTGCATTCTTGATTGTGTGGAATTACCACTTTGATGAGAACATTTAATGCACCAATGGTTCAATTTTGAGAGCCAGACTGCATAGGTGAATGACATTGCACTAGAATGCATGCCATACTATCACACTGCGACACCTGTGAAAGGCCAATTAATGGTGCCAATGGGAGTAAGTCTAGTCAGAAGCGTTAGGTGGAGTATCTTTAAGGTACAATATTGTACATTTACAGTACATACAGACATGTGGCTTCTAAATTAATATTGTTTCATGAACATTCCAGTTGTGCATGCATTATAACTTATACCTATACTAATGTGCTCCACTATTGATTGAAACAATTGGCCAAATTGGTCAGCGTACAGATCGCTGGTTTAGACCATAGGAGAGGCATGAGTGGGCCTTTATGAGGCTCTGTACATGTTGCAATGATGACATGGCCTTTCACAAAGGCTTAAATGATTTGATGTCTGCTTGGTTGCCTACCCACCCACAGTATCCATCTGTCTACCAATTTATTTTAAAAGCTGCACTTGTGCATCCTTCCTATTAGCATTATGTGAAGCCAGAGGGGGGGGGGGGAGCTAGCTTGTGTGTCTGCGAGTGTGTGTGCAAGCGAGCGTGTGTGTGTGTGCGTGTGTGAGAGTTTGTGTGTTTGTGTGTGTATGTGTTTACATGCATGTGTGCACTGTCAATTTATTTTTCATACAGCATCTCAATTCTATACCATATCTTTGTGTTTTTGTCTCAAGTTGCAGTGCAATTCCCAAATGATCAATACAATCTTCTCATCATTCTTATAGTTTATTGACACACATTAACACATCTTACAGACTTACAAAGCCTATACAGTGCTGACGTAACATTCTTTCCATGTTTTACCAGGTTTCACCTGGTCACATTCCACTCTGATTTTGAAACTCTCATACTGAATAGATGTCTAAGCTTCATGTGGGTATTACTAATGCAAAATTCCAACTATCTGGCTGTTTAGAAGACTCTTTGGTTTAGTACTACAATCCCAATAGGAAACAGAACTAACTACTCCCTAATACCACCTGTACACTTGATGGAATGTTCTTTTACAATTTACACAGAACGTTAAAAAATATGGGGCTTTAAGTCACATGACTGCATGTTTTTGATTGTCACTGAACAGTACAACTATTTATTTTGTGATATTTTCTTTAAACAATCTTGAGACTCTCGATCCTGCCACCATTGCTTTTTCAGTGAAGAATTTCTATTCAACTCTAGAATGCTATAGGTCTACTGTACATGCCTCTATTCATACATATCCTGCAAGTACTCTGTATAGAATACCTTGATTGTTAAGGTGAATATATAATGTGTTTTTGAGTAGTGTCATTAAATATCTGAATCACTCTTGTGTTTCATTACTATTATGTGGCAGGAGGCTCCAATATCACTCATTCTGCTCAGCCCAGCAGAATTACAGCTCTAATCACAATCTTCCATGTGCATGTCTTATTCATCATGACATTTTCCTATAGACTACTTTTCCTTGAAGGCATCTTTGGTATTGGCAGATTGCAGAGGTTTCAGCACATGGAAAATGATGTCATGCTTTTAGTAGGATTATGCTGACAGATTTCATTGCAACCTGAAACCCCCTCCTGTACTTAACTCTGATAGTGTTTCAAGATAACAGTCAGAAAATAGTGCTGCATAATTTTTGTTTTACAGTATGTCAGTTCTGTGTTTGCAGATCAAACTGTAATAATAGCTGAATGGGAATGTGCCCAAGATTGATGGTGCTTAATTGCTACACATTCACATTTGGTGCACACTGTTGCAATACTCCCTGCACAAGAGTAATCATTGATGCTGACAGAAGTAAACTCTCCTAAACTAAGCTGGCACTCTGGTTCTCATCCCTTGAGGCAAACCTGGCAGGGAGCAGGCCCAATGAGCCATCTGAAGTTACTTGCTTTGTGCCTGTTATATGTCACTGTGCCGAATCGAACATATTTGAGGAACAAAGACAGACTACAGAAAGGGAATCCAGGCTGGGTCTTCCTAAACTCCTACTAGGCTCACTCTGTGAATGTTAGAACAGCTACTTTTGAAAAGATTCTCTCATTTGTATGTGAATATTTAGACTGCTGGCAACTTCTGAGGTCTTGGATTTGCATTAGGCAGCTTGTGAATACCGTGGCAGATGCTAAAAGGAGGGAAAACACTGATAGGCTACATTGACAGAATGAAATTTAAACAAACTGACATCAAACCGCCTATATTTTTTTACTGAATTGCTTAAGAGACACATCAAAACTGTCCAGTGGCCAATTGATCAAATAGAGGTCATGGTCCTTATCACAACTCTCAGATGGTCCATGGTAAATGGCAACTGAACTGCGAGAAAATCTACCGTGTGTAGAGACCAGTGGTCCCGGTTGTTGCCAGCTCGAATGTTGTCATTAAACATTGTTTGATTGGTTGACAAGATGAACTCTGCTCATAGGTCAATCATGTGCGGCGGCCACTCAACACTTCATTTCATATTTTGCCGCCATGATCGCCGAGCCAGCGGCGCCGCTCATGGGAGCGAGCGCCACAAACCATGCCCCTTGCAAAACTGCTTGTGTTTTGCCTTCCACCTCCATACTCTCATTGACGTCTCTCTCTCCAACATCAGATTTGCACGTTTTCTGTTTACACTAGCCTTGGATGTGGTGTAGCCAAAGCCACATTCCTGCTTTATGTGTGTGTGCAGCTATTAGCATACCGTAAATACCATAGTATATAGACAAATAAAATAAGGATAGCAATTAAAACTATACACGAGCTTCTCATCCAAACCATATTGCACATAATGCTGCACACTGAATTAGTTTAATGATTCATATAGATATTTTAAAAGCCTAACAGAGCTAAAATGCTGTCTACTGGTATTAAGGTAATTAAGGTAATTCTGGACGTGTAGGAGAGCAGTTGTCTTTACACTGTGCCACTTAATGGGACTGTCACCTTGTCGTGGTGAGGGGGCTTGTGTACCTCAATGACCCCTTAGAACTATGCCGGTGGGAGGTAACTCTCGGCAGGTCTAACCAAACCAGACAGGTCTAGGGCGAGGGGTCAGACGAAGCATGATTACAGAAACCAAAACTATGTAAACTCAACCTCTCCAAAACCTGAGCCGAACAGACTACCCTAGAAGGGTGTCCATGAATCCCCTGGGCCAAACTCAACTGAAAGCCCAGAGGAGGAAGAGTCTACTACAGCTCAAGTCAAGGGTGAGAATTGGATGCTGGAATGTCAGAACATTACACCAGACAGGTAAGCTGTCACAACTAGCCAGAGTGATGGGAAGATACAACCTGAGCATTGTTGGAGTCTGTGAAAGCAGATGGATTTTTTTGGGGGAAAGAACAACCACCAGGGTGAAACCTTTCTTTGCTCTGGAAGCACAAATGAAGAAGACCCACACAAACATGGAGTAGGACTACTTCTGTGAAAAGATGCAGCAAAGAGCCTCATAGAGTGAAAGCCAATATCTACAAGAATCATCACATCCAGATGTACATCTAAAGGGTGGAACATTACATTCATATAGTGCTATGCTCCAACCAACTCAGCTGACTTCGAAAAGAAAGAAGTCTTCTATCAACAGCTACAGACAGTTATTCAAAAAGTACCCAAAAGAGACATCCAAATTGTACTGGGGGACATAAATGCCAAGATCGGAAGGACAATGACAACTGGAGAGGCACAATGGGGAGAGACGGTCTAGGACAGATTAACGAGAATGGTCTTCTGTTCACAGACTTCTGTGCTCTCAACAAGCTGTCAATTGGAGGAAGTCTCATCCAACAACAACCACACCCACAAAGCCACATGGGTATCCCCGGACCACCGAACAGAAAACCAGATTGATCACATAACAATAACCAGGAAATGGAGTAGAGTGCTCCTGGATGTCAGAGTCCAAAGAGGGGCTGACATCGACTCAGACCATCACCTCCTGATAGGGGAATTCAGGATGAAGTTGGCAGTAAAGAGAAAGGTGGACAGTTGGGTGCAAAGGCGATTTGAGATGAGAAAACTACAAAATAACTAGATATGCCAGGATTGGGGAATATCTCTATTAAACAGATTTCAAGCATTGGCAGAGCGAAAAATCATTGATGAAGTGGTCAAGGTTTGTGAAGACTTGTGAAGAAGTCCGAGGCAACGGGGAAGTTATGAGAAAAGACTGAATCACAGATGACACCTGGAAAGAAATAGAGGCAAGGAGGGAGACCAAACTTAAACTCAACAGGGAATGTATGATACCAAGAGACAAAGTATGCGGCAGGAATACCAACATAGAAACAAGGTGGTTAGAAAGAGGTGCAAGAGGGACAAGAAAGCACACACTGAACAACTTGCTAGCTAGGTGGAGGTGGCAGCCAAGCAACACAATTCCAAGGAGTTGTACAAGATCACCAGACAGCTGGCCAGGAAGAACAGGAGCCGAAGCTACTCCATCAGAGACAAACGTGGAATCCTTCTTACCAAACAATCCCAACAACTGGAACGCTGGAAAGTACACTTTGAGGAAATCCTAAACAGGCCTCCACCTGACTTAACCCCAGACAACATCGAAGCAACAGAAGACCTAAACATAAACTGTAGTAGGACATCCAAGGAGGAGATCAACCAAGCCACCAAAAAGCTAAAGCTAGGCAGGGCACTAGGAAATGACAACATACCACCTGATGTTCTAAAAACAGAAATCAGTGCCACTGCAGAGGTCTTACACAGCCTACTGAACGAGATCTGGGAAAAAGAAGAAGTACCAACAGAATGGAAGACAGGTTTGATTGTTACACTCCCCAAGAAAGGCAACCTCAGTGAGCGCAATAACTGGAGAGAAATCATGCTCCTCTCAATCCTCAGCAAATCCTCTGTCGGATCATCTTGGATAGGATGCAGGACGCACTCGACGAGACTCTGAAAGGAACAAGCAGGCTTTAGGAAGGACTCCTGTGCAGACCACATTGTAACACAGGATAATCGTCAAACAGTGCATTAAATGGCAGAAACCATTACACATCAACTTCGTAGACTTCCAAAAAGCTTCCGATAGTCTAGACAGAAACAGTCTATGGAAACTGCTATGGCACTATGGCATCCCTCAAAAATGTGTGAATCTGATAAGGAGTATGTATGAAGGGTTCACTTGCCAGGTCATCTCCAACAGAAAACTTTAAGACACACTCTACATCAAAACTGGAGTATGCCAAATCTGCTTACTATCCCCTCTGCTTTTTCTAATAGCCATCGACTGGACCATGAAGAGAGCCACAGCCCACAAAAAAACAGGGATCCAGTGGAGCCCATTCACTCAACTGGAGGACCTGGCTTTGGTCTCTGAAAGTCACAGGCAAATGCAACAAAAAACAGATTGACTACAGGAAAACAGCAGAGAACTTGGC